GGAACCAACAAGAAGGCCCACCGAACTCGCCCCAGTTGCGTTTCAGCATCGTGAACGACTGCCCGAACAACTGTTAACCTGCGGGAACTGGAGGGGAATTCTATTTGTGGAGTGCAAAACTCTGCTCAAAACAGATCCAGATCCAACAAGGGGGCCCCAGCAACCGACCACCAAGGTCCCCTAAGAGCGCTTTTGGCAGTCTCCAAAGATAACCGCCGACTGTTTGGCACTTCTTGTAGGTGGTCGACCGACAAACACATCGGGACTGAAGCCGTTCGGCACCGCAGCGTCTGATCCATTGGCGAGACAAGAATTTTCGAAGTTCGGATGCCGGCGGACTTGGCGGTACTCCTGGTGGCTCGTCAACAGTTATCCTTTCTCACCAAACTACACATCTCCGCTCTGGGCTTGTTCGGATGCCAGGGAACTTCGTGTTTCCACACAACCACCACTGCAACAAGGCTCTTTGTGATCGAGCACATTAGGGGAGAACAACACAAGTTCGCCGGCATCCGAACTTCACGTTTTCTGTGCGGCAAGGGTGCAGGCTAACTTGACAAATTGGATGGTCGTGGACCTGATGTTCTTTTGCCTCAGAGCCTCATGTATTGTCGAGCTGGGGCAAGTGTGGCAGTCCGCCGGCATCCGAACTATTAGACTGCACCCTTGTCTCTCTAGTTGTACTGTTTAAACACGATCCAAGTCCGGACACCGGCAAATGACAACAATCCATCAACGATGGAGGCCAATCATTGAAGTTCGGATGCGGGCGGACTTCTTCAGTTGGCCACCGCAGCCGGAACGCGAAGTGAGGATGCAGCGTACGCCAGTCATTGAAGTTTGGATACGGGCGGACTACTTAAGTCAGACCCAGCCGACAAACAAGGTCCACATCGGATTCCGGCGAGTTTTTTTGTCCCCCCCTCCCGTGTTGGAGCAGGAAGACCCTACTTCCAATGGTGGTGAATATGTGAAGTTCGGATGTCGGCGAACTACAAATGTTCAGCAGCAAAGCAGCCTGATCCTTGAAGTTCGGATGCGGGCGGACTTCTCCAGTCGGCCCCCGCAGCCGGAGCGCGAAGTTTGGACCCAGAGTAGGTCAATCACTAAAGTTCGGATGCGGGCAGAGTACTTCAGTCAGCCCACATAGACAAAACGTGAAGTTCGGATGCCGGCAAAGTTCTTTTGTTCTCCACTCCCGTCCTGGACCAGGAAGACCCTGGTTCCAGCGGGGGTTGTATGGAAATGCGAACTTCGTCGGCATCCGAACTTCAAATGCTGGTGAGATAGGATAACTGCCGACGAGCTACCAGGAGCACCGCCATGACCGCCGTCATCCGAACTTCATCCGTTGCCAATGGTGGGCGATATGTGAAGTTCGGATGTCGGCGGACTTCGTGCATTCACGCATGGGCTTCAGTCACTACAACCTTCCGCGCTTGCAATTGGACCCCACAATGCTGTGGCGATGTTTCGAGTTGGGATCGCGACAACGCTTGGCTGGGGTGTTTGTAATGCGTCCTTTGTGTTTTGGCTTAAACACTACGCGTCTTGCGAAAGCGGATGGATTCCGATGTGGTTCGATGAAGAACAAGGTTTGATAATGTCCGATGGCCATGCTGGAGAAGATCTGATGGACAGTGTTCGATTTCTCGATAATGTCGATGACGGACAAGGTTCGATAATGTCCGGAGGCCATGCATAAAAGCTCGAACAATAAAAACACACACGATCACTCAATCAGGATAGATCATCAATCATGAGATCGACCACGCTCTGTTCCTCGATGAAATAGTTCATTGGAAGAACGGTCATGTTTTCATCGATCGCGTATTTTCGTTGTTGAGGATCGCGTGATGCGACAATAGCGAGGCGTGTTGATGCACACACGCACACACACACACACACACACTGAAACATGCACGATGGTGTGGTCTGCATTTGATATGGGTTGTTCACTTGTTTGGGCGCTCTGTTGATGTTATCAATTGGTCGACTGACCTCGGCTCCTCACTTGTTTGATATAGGCTGAACGATCTGCTGACCACAATGACTTTAGATGGTGATGTGCTCATCGACTGGCTTGTTCTATCAAACCGGTGCGAACACTGGTTGATTGTGACAAACATCGCACCCTCCGAATGAGTGATCAGTGGATTGATGAACATATAATTCCCGATAATGAGCCCCATTGACGGGTTCATGCCCATTCGTTTACGCAGACCCAACACGCGCGTGTATAGATCTGCGAAAATGAACTCGTTGGACAAGCTCATCATCGGGAACGATCTGTTCACCAAACGACCGATTCTTCACTCAGAGGGTGCGATGTTCGGTCAATCGTTTCCTTGTCTTAATCAACTGTTCATCTTTTCATTGACCATATCAACTAATCGCAGATTCGCTTGCATAATACCCACGTGCAAACGCCCGCTTCCGCACGCAAACGTGCAACCGTACACACACACACACACTTTCCATGGAACGGTGGCTCGTCCAATCAACCGGTTGCATGGAATGGTTGATTTGATCATGGGTTGCTCGAATGGTTGATTTCATCATTGATTCATTGGTGACGATGGGGCTTATTGGAGGAACCGCCCAGGTTCAACACTTTCTCCACACACACGCATTGACACATCTACATATGAAAGCAAACGTGAGAGCGAGGGCAATACAGGGAACAATACAGGAAACAGATAAATACAGGAAACAAATAGAGTACATGCAAATAACGCAAGTCGCTGCAAACAGACACCCGTCCGAACGCAGGCGCGCACAGCAGGGCTCGAGCAAATGCAGAAGCTTTCTCGAACGTGCACAACCATACGTACACACACACATGGCATCACTGTCACACATGGCATCCGTCTCACACATCAGCGGATGTTTACACGCGCAAGCACAATGAGTCGGGGAAAAGGAACGTCGAATTCCGCCAGTCAGCCTTTTGACAGGTACTCACCCCGATGAAGATTCCGTGTGGAGAATAGATCATTCGCACCTACACTACAGCCGCGGAAATTGCAGTGCAAGCGGCGCGACTTACGTGGTGTGGCGGCGAATGACTTGCGTTAAACGAGCAGCACGCATACGATACAAGCTCGTCAACAGGTCACTGATTGCCACGAAAGACAATGCGACGCGGAAGGTGCTTTGCGATGCAAGTGCGTGCGGGTTCTCTGTCCAGACAGCAAAGGATGCGGCGCAGCGCTGAAGATCGCGATGGCGTCCGTCGCCGTGCGTATTGCTTGCGATCGTCTACAATTATCGAGTTTTGCGCTGGTTGGATGACGTGGCGCAGCGTTGGAGATTGTGATGGCGTCAATCACCGCGGTTCACGGGCGATGGTGTTGACGAGAGAGGGAGTGCAAGTGGTTAGTCCGACAGCATCTCCCCACGACATGTGATAGTGCGAAATGAGCATTGGGGGGGCGAGATTCGTTTCATAGGCTCGCACGCCTTGGACACGCAAAGGGCTTTCCAAGCGGGATGGAAGGCCTTTTTCAAAATCGAAATTGCGGGCCCGGGAGGGGGGGCGGGAAATTTTGACCCATTGGACCGAAAGAAAAAAGCGCGGGAGTCCAGAAACCGTTCAATTTGCCCGATCGACGACCACGGCCCGTCGGTGCAAAGGGCCTGCATACGACACGACGCGTGTGAGGGCCGTTGCTGACAATCGCTCGCGGGCCTTTCCGGACGTTATCGGGCGACTGGGGGGTGGTAGGGGGGAGGGGCTTTTCGCTGACGGGCAGGAAGACCATTCTCCCATACGACAAACAAAATGCACGGCCAGACCTGGCCGAGCCGTCCGATTTGCACATCGCACGACCGTTTCTCGCCGTGGCACAGAGCCTGCGGGGTGAACGTGACACCGGTGAGCGGGGTGGGACGCTACCGGGAGGATGAACGTCACACTGGTGAGCAACTAGGAGGCAGCCGCACGAAGGCTTCCGCGCAAGTGGCCCTCCCAGTTCACCCTCCCCTTCCCCGAAATCCATCTTGCTTGACGACATCTCCGCTGCGCTGCGCCATCGCCGTCGTGCGCCCCGCGCTGCGCCATCGTCGTCGTTCGCCCCGAGCTGCGCCATCGTTGTCTTTCGCCCCGAGCTGCGCTATGCCGTTGTCGTCCTCGGCGATAGACCTCCCAGGTACGTCGGAGTTGCTCTCGAAGACACCATGGTGTCCGGAGACCGTCCCGCTTCTCGCCAATTTCGCGCGAGACTCTTTGCGCATCATGACAGTCTCGAAATGTTGCGGGTCGTCGCCAGTCTGCATGTCGTGTTTCCCTGTCCATGCACTCCTCTCTTCATTTCCCCCCCCCTCCCAGCATTTGTTCTTCAGTAATGTCCTTGTCTGTCGCACGCAGTCTAGCTCCTTGTCTGTGGTATGGAGAGCTGATCGCGCAGGCAACCACGGGCGATGTGGAGTTGTGCCACGTCGAGTGAAACCGATTGCGGGTCCCAACGTGGCGGAAGAAAAAAGCATCCACTACTGTGCGCCACGCGCCGGCGACCTGAGACATCGACGCCCACCGCGCAGACTTCTTTGACGAGCAAAGCTGCTAGCGACGAGAGGCTAGTAGTGCATGCTTTCAACCAGCCCCATGGTGGCATGATCGAGCGAGCATGGGCGCAGACAAGTCATCTATGCGTTCGTGCCAACGCGTTGATGCCACCGTGGGATTGGCCGTTAGCAGGCAATGCGAGCTTGTCGTCGAGAGCTGCTTCGTTCGTTGATGAAGAGCAGACGGTTGGTAGCGATGGCTGGGGTTCCCTGTGTGTAGATGAAATTGCTAGGTTCATCTTGAGAAAGGCCAGTGGTGTGCGCATATCACCCGTCGGCACGTATTTTCATGAACACGCATTTTCATGATCGCGCGATCATGATCACGCATCTTCATGATCAAGCGATCATGACTGTTCTTGAGCAACGATTGCTCGCGAGGAGGGGGCAACTACATTCATTGTCTTGTTCTGACGTCGATGGAAAACGAGGTTGTCGTCGGCTATAGGCGAGCACAAGGCGGAAAACGATGCCCCAGTTGTGCACTGTGGTCGATGCGCAACTAGGTTCTCGCCGTGGTCTGCCACGTGGACCGCAGGGCACTCTTCGCGGCTGGACAAGAACCTCGTGCCGCGTGGCCGACATTGCTCGATAACGAATATAGCTTCCTCACCTGTGTTCGTTGTCATGAAATGTCGTTGATGTGAAACGAGGTTCTCCAGCCGTGAAGGGTGCTTTGCGGTCCACGTGGCAGACCACGGCGAGAACCTCGTTCCACATCGACCAGAATGTAGAACTGGGCCGTTGTTTTCCGCCTTCTTTTTGCATCCACCTCGATCAAGCGTCTGGTCGCGAGTGCGACACATTCGACTGCTGTTGAACAACTGTCCATTGCAGCACGTGTGATCGCGGGTGTGACACGTGGGCGCTCAAACGTGTCCCGCAGCGTAGTCGTGATCACACGGTCACAATAAAAGCGCAGCGAGCACGGTGAAGCGTGTGATGGCGAGTGCGACACGTGTGCCCTTTCACGAGCAACTTTCGTGGAGGTGATTGTCGTGGTCCGCCGGGATCCGATCTTGCACGTGTGCCTTCTCATGAGCACATGAAGTTCGGATGCCGACGGACTAGCATGATTCCAAGCCCTTCATGTTGAATTGCGAAGATCGAGGTCGTGAACATGAAGTTCGGATCCCGGCGGACTTGCGGTTTGGCCACTGATTTGAAACGCGCACAGTACACAAATTACTTTAAAAGCAGTCAGGTCGGGTTTCAGGTTTCCTGCCACTCCGGCTTAGGACGGTTCGCGAGTTGCAACATCCCCGCTGGTGGCATGACTGCTCGCTTTTCGTACTTGCAGTTAGCCTCAATTGTCGAGAACCATGGTTTCACAACGTTCGGATCCCGACGGACTTTAGGTAATGTGTGCCGACAAATCCATCTACTCGGAAGACCCCGATTCGGGAACGTGAAATGTGTTGTCATTGCCAACAACGTTCATGACGAGCCTCGTAGATTTTCCACTTCAACCCTATGAGCCCCAGTCATCAACGGTTGCCCCGCGGGGACGTCGCTTTGGCAAAATTACATTCCTGCAACATCAGGGTTTGACAGTCGTTGCTGGCGACTCGAAGCAAAAAAGAAATCGGCCGTCCTCGACTCCTCTCAACCCCGCCCGTCTCGACCGAAGTTCGTCGGCATCCGAATTTCCACATCCACGGTTGTCGACTCAGCACCACAACCCCGCTGTTCTACTGGTCTGGCAGGAGGTGCAGGCAGCGAAAACGTCCGCCGGTGGCACGACTGCTCGTTTTCTGCACAAGCAGTTAGCCTCAATTGCCACGAACCCGGATTTCATAAAGTTCGGATCGGGGCGGACTTAAAGTAATTTGTGATACCAAATCCATCGCCTCGCAAGACCCTAATTCAGCAACATTAAATGTGGCTGTCATTGCCAACATCGTTTCTGTTGAGCCACAAAAATTTTCCACTTCGTACCTGGCGAGCCGCAGTCACCAACGGTTACCCTGAGTTTCCTGGAGACGTCGCTTCGCAAAAACACATTCCTGCAACATCATGGTTTGACGGTCGTTGCTGGCGACTTCCACAAAATAAGAAAATGGTCGTCGCGTCTGGTGAGGGTCTGGTTGGGGGCCCGACAACCATGTTCTTCTTAGTCCTCTTTTCTAATCGCGCACGATTGTTGAATGGCCTCCCGATAGTGCACTGTTCGCGATCCTGGGACACATATCGCTGACAAATTCGGATCCCGACGAACTTCGAGGATCGCGCTTGTTGTGGCCATTCGGGAGATCCGTCATCTATTTGCCGCGTTTGACGCACGACCGTAGCGAGGACTGAGGAAATAGACATTGCCAGCGCACGTGTGTGCGTTGTCGATTTGCAGAATGGGGGTTCGTGGGGGATGCATAACTGCACTTGGAGCTCCGAGTCTGGTCGTTTTCTGTACTGCCGCCTTGTCGCTGGAGTTACGGAATGGGGGTTCCTGGGGGATGCATAAGGGGCATTTCCAGCACACGACCTCGCCTTGTCGCTGAAGTTAATCGGGGTTTATAGGGGGTCACTTGTGGGACCTGGAACCATGAATTTCGTTTTCGCAACCAGACACAGGCTTGCCGGTGATGGTAAGCTCGGCCTTGATCTATCTCTTCTGCCGCAAACCCGTCGACCTGTAACCGTTCGGGACACTGTTGTGGTCATTCGTGTACTTCTCCTGCGAAGAACACGAGTTTTGAAGTCGCGCACACTGCCGAGGCTTGCAGCGCCAGCACACATCCTAGCATTGGCGGTGGAGTTCATCTGCGTTGATAGGGGTCGCTTGAGGGTCATTCAACCATATTCTTTTTCATCTGCAAACCCCTCATGGCCTTCCAGTTGTGATGACATTTGTCCAACAGTCATTTCATTGCAACCGACGAAGGCCAGTTCGTCGTAGAATCTGTTACCGTACAACTTCGGATCCCGACGCACTTCGAGGATCCAGGACCGTCGGGCCGTTCGTTGCACACGCCTAAACCACGCCTTCGTCTTACAATCGTAGATGACGCACAACCGATGGGCGTTTCTCATACACTTTGACATTGGGGATACACGTGGTCCCACGTCACTATCGGACCCGTGCGCGGATTTGGGCACTCCACTGCGGGGGGTGGGGGGCGGGGGGGCTGCTAGAACACATCAATCTTGCCACACGACACACAACGCCTAAAATTCAAAGAATCGAGATACTATCAAAACCGAGACTCGCGTAGTCCGTATAGAGTCACACCCATAACCAAACGTCAGGGAAATCCTTTGGCCGTCCAACGCTAGACAGCGTACAAATGCCGCGCGGATGCAACCTTCCTCATAACGACTAGCCATGCATAAGTGCGCAAGCAGTCATGGTAATGGCGTCTATGAATCCCCCTCGGCGGCGGACAAGCGCGGCCAAGTCCGCGGCCGCGGCCGAGTCCGCAACCCCTCGGACGCGTTCGCGTGGCCGCGCGACTTCTTGGACGCGTGGCGGCCGATGGGGAGGGGGGTTGGGGATTCGAGAAGCGCCATGGGGCGGTGCAACCCCAACTCCACCCTCTCAAGCAAAAAAATAAGAATAAAAAATAATTTTTGGGGGGGCGGTTTAGGTGAGTGAAGGTATTTCCAAAAAAAAAACAAAAAAAAAACAGAGTTTTTTTTTTTTTTGCGTTCATTGATTGATTGATTGATTGATTGATTGATTGATTGATTGATTGATTAATTGATTGATTGGTTGATTGATTGGCCCCATAGGCGCATACACACACACACACACACATAGGTAGGATTGTATATTTCCATGTTCTAGCGGAAGATTCATTCGATTTTGCTTTTTTTCTTCTTTTTCCGTTGATTGAATGATTGATTGATTGATTGATTGATTGATTGATTGGTGGGGGCGGGGTCCCCCCCCCATCCCCAACAGGCCCACACAAATACACACACAC